TTATATTTTGTCATTAAATGTGAATCAAGTGATACCATAGACCCTCTCTATTGTGATATACTATATGGTGAATTTATTTTTGAAACAGAACAGGGAAAAAATGCAATAGAATTTTAATGAGCAGCTTCTTAGGATAAATTACTTAAGTTATATATATATATATATATATATATATTTGGCATAGTCAGTAAAATATGTTATCCATGGAGCAAACTGCTACATTTTGTCCGCAACAAGTACAGTCAGTTTTGTGCCCATGTCAGTTCATAAATTCATAGAACACATTTTTTGGTTAAGTTTGTAAAGTCTGTGAGACTGCGAGTTATCAAAATATAATGAAAGTATTAAATCGATAATGGCAACATTGTTTTCTACGAAGGCATCTGAAAACCACAGTCCCTCTATCACTGTCAAAACTAAAATCGAGGCTAACGCTATGACTCCGGCGCTACGACCACCGTAACATTGTCAGCTGACGGCATTGCGGGGAAATTACTCCTGAAAGAACTGTTTGAAAATTGAACGCGCAACAGTAGTAAAGGCTTGAACACAGTAGCGTAAGTCTCAAGTGCAACTTTGTATCAACATATGTTCGTCTTCTGATACTTATTAGCTGTCAGAGACACATATCAATTGTCCAGCCCAATGAAAAGTCTGATTCACGTCCTCTGCTCAATTTGCAACTCAAGCATAACAGTTTATCAAAACAAAACAATTCATTCAGCACGCTGTTCACCGATATATGAAAGAGTGTTTTTTTTTAGGCAAGACACACGGTAAAATGACTACTGTACACCAATAAATGAACACATTTTAGAGACATCTAGTCTTCAAAAAGCAATGTAAACTCTGTCAATCCAAAAATAAACAACAGCTTGAATGAGGTGCGAATGAGATCGGTTCAAACCGCAGTTTTTATGCAAATTTGTGCGGTCGTCCTGAACCGCACTGTCTATTTAAACTGTTTAAACTTCCAAACCGCAAAACTGGGTTTTGTTCGGGCGGTTTAAGTTTTCGTAGGTTTGACCCACATGTTTGAATATGAGATCACCCC